CTGTTAGTTGGCAGACAGCTATATAAACTCATGGGGGGGAGAGGGGGAGGTCAACGTTCACATCAGTCTTGTTATTCTCCCTCTTGGGATTTCATTTTGTAAGGTGCCAAGAAATTCAAAATTCCTAACTAGAGTCACCAGACAGAGCTCTTGCAGGACTATGAGAAAAGAATCTCATCTCTGGAGGTCACTTAGGGCTTTTGTGGAGGAAATACCAAATGGTTCATTGAGAGACATTTGGCCTTCCAGCCTAAGGAATGAAGTGGTTGCCTGGGTCACAGAAAGCAAAAAGCCTTTTTGGAAAGTCTGCTTTGCTTCCTTTTTTGCATGTCTATTTAAAGGTTTTTGAGAGGTATACTTCTGCAAAATTAAAGACATTAGCTCCAAATACTTTTGTTCCCAAAGATAACATATTTCCCCTTCAGATTTGTTGGCAGTTGTTTGGTTGTATGCAATTGGTGTGGACTTGACCATATTAGTCTCCAAAATGGGGCAGTCAGTGATGGGTTTGTGGTTTTATGAAAATCTCTTTGTAAAACAGAATAGAGTTCAAATTAGTGCCCTGGAATGTAGACTTAATCCAGCAGACCATGTGGCCCAGAGGAGGCGTTCTGTAGAGCTCTGCTCCTTCCTCCCCTCAGATGGGGAAGGGAAGTCAAGCAGTGCAGTTGAGAAGTTATGCATCACCAGAGAGCTTCATAACACAGTAATTAAACTGCAAAAGTTTGATCCTGGGTTCAGGTAGTCAGCTCAGGGTTGACTCATCCTCCCATTATTCTCCAAGGTGAAGCAACTAAACTGAGCAATTAAAATGTAAACTGCCCAGAGAGCGCTACAAGCACTATGGGGTTGTATATGATCAACACACTTTATTGTTATTGTTGTTTTGCTTTGCTTTTAGACAACAAAGGAGAGGTGACAGAAGAAGAATCAGAGAAGGGCATAAAATTCTGGGTTTATCTAATCCTGAAGAAGCAGGGAATGGGCATTAAGGTGGATTGAACCAGATGGCAACAGGGCAGGGATTTGTTGGCAGAGACTCTCCCCTTTGATATTATTGTCTGGCCATGTGGACCAAAACAGTTGCTTATCCCAATTCGAAAAGTTCCACATCTGAAAAGAAGGAGCCTACTTTTTTCAGTGTCTAGACAAAGCAAGACTTGAAAGCAGGATCCCAGCATCCCTGAGTGAAGCGGGTTCTGTGTGAGTTGCCTTCTCCATATCAGTCACTCGTCTCCATTGCAATTTATCATCCGTAAGGGCCTCTGATGTTCTCAAATAAGAGCAGCATTGTCTAGTTTGGATCATCTTTCTTTAAAAAATTTAAATGGCTGAATTCTGTTTATAGAGGAATGGTATTTGTACAGATATTTTTATTTGAAAAATGACTCTAACTTCGCAGTGTTGGGTTTATTGAGAGGATCAGAGCCACATAAGAACAAGAAAGTTAAGACCAGAGCAGAAAGAGGCAACCCCCTCGGGCAGCAAATGCTGCCAGACAGAAGTGGAAAGCCTCCCAGCTGTTCCTCATAAACTTTCTGGCTGTCCCTCTCCGTTGAAGCAAAATGCCTGTGTATACTAACGGATCTGCCCTGTGCCTCTCACTAATTAACCTGCTGCCTTAGGCTTGGTGAAGAGTACTGGATATTATTCCATCACCAGTTGTTGAAGTTCAACTGCCAGCTTCTGTATGTGTACCAGAGCTTGGGCACTAACTTGCCTTTCACCTCAGGCAACAAGATGTCTCAACATCGGCTTGGACTGATGGAGACACATATTGAGGAACAATCTATGTGCAACTTGATTTTTTTTATGGTTGTTGTTGGTTTTTTGGGTTCTTTGGCCGTGTTCTGAAGGTTGTTCTTTCTAACGTTTCACCAGTCTTTGTGGCCGGGTGTCTTTCCTTGTCGGGCGTTTCTAACTCTTGTCCTCCCAGCGACACCGCCACAAAGACTGGCTAAATGTTAGGAAGAACAACCTTCAGAACATGATCAAAGAACCCGGAAAACCCACAACAACCATTAGATCCTGACCGTGAAAGCCTTCGTGAATACATTGATTTTTTTAAAATTTTACCTCTGCTATTGATTCACTTGGGAAATGTCTTCCCATATGCTATTTTCTTATGCAGTTAAGCACTGGCCGAAACTCTCTTCCATAATTTATGCTGTGTAAGGCTGATGATGTCATCAGAGGCTGATGATTGCTTTCATGCTCTTGTATTTTTAGAAGTAGATGTTTTCCAATCCCACCCCCCACCCTCAAGGTCCCAACACTCCTATGAAATCTCTTTTGTTGTGGGGGAATCATTGAGGCCTGTGGGAGTGGCAGGGGAAGTCTTTCTGGAACCTTCAGGGCAGGGTCAGATTTATTTAGTTGTGGTTTGTTTGTTTTTTTTGAAGGAACGTAAAAGCTGAAATCCTGTTCATGCAGCTATGCTGCATAAGACTGATTACACCAACAGCTGCAGCCATTTCTTATTTCTAAAAAAAAGGCTACAGCTGATTACGTAATGAGCGTTATGTGGGTAGTTATGTTCTTTCTTAAAATGTACAACTGAAGGTTGTAACCTAAAATAAAATGGCTGCACTGCATGAACACTTTAATTGGCTCTTAGTGAACTTGTCTTCTCTTATCGCAAATGTCTGCAAAAACAGTAAAATAACACTCAGCTTTATATTATGTACCCATTATAGTCAGTGGTCTTTCAGAGTGCCCACTGGCACATACCTAAATTGTTTTTGTGGTATGTGGTTGAATATTTTTTCAGGTTTTTGGAAAGAGCATTTGATATGAGATCATGCCAGAATAGAACAAATAAAAATGGGTCCCAGAAGGTCCATTCGAAGTTATTGACACATGTCTGCTCTATACACCCTACCTCCCACCTTTTCAGGAAAGTGATGTCTCTGAAGAGTTCAGCAGGTTCAGTGGAGGCTCTCCATGGGAACCAGACCCTGATTTTTCTGCATTCTAGCTCATACATAACAGCCTCTGCAGATAGAACAAGCTGTCCTCTTGAGACACATCAATTTCATGCGAGGAAGGTGATGGTGAAGGCGGATGCCTGAAGAGGGCTAAGGTCAATTTCAATTTCTGAAAAACACATCTCCACACAGCTTGGGGTGTGCTAACTCACAAGTGAGTTTATCCTTTCTGTTTGCAAAAAATGTCTGAGTTCTGTAGCTTCTATGATGTCAACACTTTCTTTTATGCACATTTGAGTTGTTTTGCTCTCACCAACACTTCTTTGAACATGGTTCGTTTTAGTCATATCATAACATTATTTGGCAAGGAATTAATAAATACAGAGGGAACACTGCTTATAAGAGAGGTGGCTGCATTGTTGAATTGCAGTCAAAGAGAGACTTTCTAACTAGATATAACTAAAGCTAGGATGTGGGATGTTCACATAACTCTTGAGTAGGAATGGACAGAGTGTAGCCGTCCAGATGTTACTGGACTGCATCTTCCATCAACTCTAGCCTGTAGAGCCAACAGAAACAAATACTGAAAACTGCAGTTCAACAGCATCTGGAAGGCAGCTGTAGAGTGAGTGAAGACTGAATCAGATCAAGTTTGCTCTGAATCTCCCAATCTATTTTCAAATCAGATTCAATGATATGAGTTCTCTCCCAGCCTCAGGTAAATTTCTGTTTCGCCCTGTAAAGATTCTTATTAAATGTGATATGAGTGTGTACATATTAGCTTTGAATATTAACTATATGACAACTGATACTGTGAGCCTAATGGGCAACCAAACAGTGTGACAGCTGAACAACTGCAAGTTTTCCATGGTATTAGTGAGGGTCACAACATCTGAAACAATACTGGCATTGCTCAATGACCCCATCTCTAATTAGCAAGTATTCTTTGAGTCTACTCTGCTTTCTGATATGTTCTTCTACATTGCTGAAGTCTTCACATATCCACACATCCACCTCATTTTCACAGGGGTTTCTTGCGATAGTTATTCAATCATTTTGGAGGGGGGGATCAGAAACCGTGACTTTTAAAGTTAGCTTCTTTGACATGGATGTCATTTCATTTTAGTGTCCAGTTCCCATGTGAGAATGAGACACTAAAGCTCCTGCACTTACATTTTGTAGAGGTAGGTCTAAATGTGTAACTGCATGTAAATGGCTGTACAAGATGGCAGAGTCCATTTACAATCAGGAGAAGCAGGTGGGCATGCTGTTGTGGCTCTTTGTATTTTAAGGCTCGTGGTGTTGGGAGAAGTATGTATTGGCTGTCTATGTGTTCAGGAAGTTTACAAAATTCATGATTCATTGTCAGTAGGCATTATACCAAGTGCAACTATTGCTCTTTTTAGCTCAGAACTGCCTATACTAACTGGCAGTGGCTCTCTAGGATCTTCCAGATAGACAACATTTTCCATCCCTCTCTGAACATTCCACAAATTGAACCCAGGACCTTCTATGTGCAAAGCAGGTGCTTTGCCATTAAGTTATACTCAGCACTCTACAATAGTACAGTTTAAGGCAATAATTCCCAGACCTGATTCCCTGGATGTTCTTAGACTACAGTTCCTAGAAGCCCTAGACAAGACAGCCAATACTGAGGGATTCTGAGAGTTCTAGAGCAAGAATATATGTGAAGTTTGGGAACCAGTGGTTTAATGGGAGGCATGCCATGTGAGTTAGCTATTTCTCACATTACAGGAACTATTTTCATGGTTTTGCAGTACATGGAGAGTTAAAGTGCAGTCATTTGTCATGCCATCATTTGGAAGGGAACCTGAACTAACCATTGGAAGGATGCTAGCAAATAAGAATATGTCTTGAGAGAGGCAGCTGGTACTTCTCTCAAGATGTCTCTGCCTATGGTTTGGTAAGATAGAAGACAGATCTTTAAAAGTTTGCCTTGCATATTATTCTGCTTGGATAAGAATACATTGATGTTTAAGAGAGCTAAATTTCTACAGCTTATAAGGCCTAGTTGCTGTTTTTTAATCTTAAACCTCTCTTCTTTTCCATTAGGACCACTGCTCTCACTAACCATCGATAAGGCATTTCCTGAAGATTCAGGCCAGTATAGATGCATAGCTGAGAATGCTGCAGGACGGTCGGAGTGTGCTTGCAGTGTTTCAGTGGAAGGCAAGTATGCTGTCCTAAGCTGATAACCCCTTGTAGTGTTCTCCTACCCTAACTCAACTTAATGTAATTCTGACCTTCTGTAAGCTCATCTTCATCTGATTCTCAATTGTACAATTGTGAAGGAACGAGATGTTCTGTTTCTTTTTTTCTCCTGCATTCCTTCCATGGAAATATTGTAACTCAGTCCCTAAAACAAACAGTGAAACCAGCCATACAAGCTAAACACTGCATTCATATCAATATGTGTCTAGAGACCCTGTGTGGCCACTCAGGTTGATGAAACCAGCCTTCTGAATTGGCTTAAAAGCCTTCTCAGTAATATCAGGATAATTTCTGTAGTACCACTATTAGAGTTTCTGTGTCTTTCTGAAGTTTCCTGCAGACAAGGGCCTTTGGGGCTTTTAAGCCGTTGGGTCAGTTTTTAATTAAATAAATAAACAAAACAGATACACATGCTCTGTTCTTGCACTTTGCTTTCATGCTCTTGTACTAGAATTGTGACAGAATTTAACAATGAGTAGTGGTGAGTAGAACCCTATACTGTGCTAGTAATTTGTGTTTAACTATTGCTGTCCTATGCTTACTCCCACCCAAAATTGTTGTGCAGATGAGGAAAAGACCAATTAGCACAACGTGGAAATGCTAGTTTCTTTGGAGTAGAGTCCCATAATCCCTCAGCTAATGTGGCTGGGAAAGGTAGGAAAAAAATTACCTTTTCTGAGCTCCCCTTGTTCTTGAGGCTTCCAGGAAGCAACTGTCCATCAGTATAGCTGGTTAGGTAGGAAAAATAGAGTACAATTCCCATCTGCACTTGTCTTCATAGCTGGAATAATTTTTGAATGCAGTTTTATACATTTGCTCTTTTGGATGAACATTGAAGAGTACAATGGTGCCTCGCTAGACAATTGCCTCGTGGGACGAAAAACCCGCAAGATGGTTGTTTTTTGCGATCACTTTGGTGCCTTGCAATACGTGTTTTTTTTCCTATGACCGTGCTTCACAAGACTTATTTTTAAAAGACTGATGCATAGGGAACCTCGCAAGATGATTTTTTCACAAGATGACAATTTTCGCGGAATTAATTAAAATCGTCTTGCGAGGCACCACTGTATAATAGCATAAAATACTGTCAAATCAGACCAAAGGTCCATCTATAATAGTTCCTGATCTTGGGCTTCTAACATGGTTTGGGACTATTATTCCTACCATTCTCAGTGAGCGCAGCCAGCTGTCGGTAGTCCAATTTCGATTTCAACTAGACTCATCTCAATTTCAATAGATGAGCTGGGTTCCAGTTGCTTATGGAAGAAAGGGAAAATCAGTATATCAGTCCCCCCCCATCTTGCATCATTTTATAAATTTCCATCATTTCTTTTCCTGAGCTATGCACATATTCATTTATATGATTCATGTCCTACCTTTCCCCTAGAGCTGGGATTTAAGGCAGCTCATGGCAAGCTGGAAGTGGCACAGATAACAAAAAACAAAAATATAAAAACAAAAATTTTATGACAAAAGTTTATAGTGTTGAAACATAATCAAACCAGTTATAGTATTAAAACAACACTGAATTAGAAATCAGTTTTAAAAGCTCCTTAATCTTCCTCCATGCTCTCTCGCTCTCTCTATTAACCTAATTACAATGTCTCATCAACAGGAGTCCCCAATAAATTGCCTCCTTCAGGCATTATCTGGTTTGCAAGAAATTGTTCAGGCATAGCTCATGGCTGGAGCTATAACTCTCTGCTGGTGTTGCATCAGTCAACATCTCTCCAGTTGTCTTATCACAGGAACTGGCCTTCTTCCCACCTATTTCGTTATGGGACAGAGACCTGCTATGTGCTGAATATCAAAGGGATTGATGGCATGGCAGTTTTTGGTGTCCATTTAAAAGTCAAGAGGATTAAGGCCTCATAGGCAGCCTCTGCCATTAATTCTTTTGCGGAGTCTACCTCCCTATTACATAGCCCTTTAGTCATTTACAGATAATTCCTGAAGAGGTGAGAGCTTGGCAAAGGGCATTAAACAGGATCCTGGCTTCTGTGAGATGTATGAGCCAGGATACTTGAAGACCATATAAGGAAAGGCCTCCACTCCCTCAGCTGCTTAACCAGTTTACATAGAGCTTGTCAGCTTTTTCAGGAACCTTCAGAGGTGCCATCGTCTCTGTGTTTGCTTCTGATCATCATGATGCTGGGACAGCACTGAGGCATCTTTATTCTCCAGTATTCTTCATTTAAAGCCATTAGGTAGTTTTGTGGGCACTGGAAAGCTTCAAGATCTTTTTTCTTACCCTGAGGCAAGAACCCACATACTTCTGTAAGATAATCATTAAACACTGGGAAATGTTGCTACAGATGGGAATGTTTTCTAGTTGCTTCTTTGACTTAAGTACCTCATTGTCCAGATTTATGCCCAGTTTCCCCAGAGTCATCGTAGAGGTTAAGAGTTCATGCCCTGGGATAAACATCTTTCTTATTTCAGATTCTTTGCAGAACAATTAAACACGCCACTTGTTTTGTTTTGTTTCATTCTTTCACTCAGAAGCTATCTATATATTGACAAGTCAGGAAAATTGTGACCCACTGTTTTGCTCCACATGCGCTTGTATGGCTGTAGATTCCAGTGGTAGGACAGGAAGGGTGCTATGGACATAAAGAGGCCCTGTCTCTGGTATACAACAGTGTAGTTTTGCAAGGAGAATCTGTTCATGTGTTTACATTTTATTTATGATTGGTTTCCACATGGTTTCCTATCTATACCCAGATCAGTTTAATTTTAGCAAGCTTGTTGCATAATGTATCTTGTTTGTCCACACATACCTGCATTGGTGATTTGTGGCTTAAACCAGGGGACCCCAACCCCCCGTTCTTCGGCCCGGTGCCAATCCGTGACCATGGCAGGACTGGGCCATGGAACAAATGTCCTGCACATACACCCGCATGCACGGCCCGCCACCCACAGACAGAGGTACCCCACCCACTTGCAAGCACACTCCGCTCCTCCGTGAGCGAGCTCCGGCCCTACGTGAACATGCCCTGCCCATTCACACATACGGGCGAGCGTGTTCCGCCCCTTCGTGCATGTGTGTGAGTGCACCCTGCCCCTTTGCACATGCACCCAAGTGCACCCCTCTCCTCCGCGACCCCCCCCGCAAGCACAGGGGTGCCCCCACCCCCCACGAACAGACCTCCCCAACTGGTCCGTAACTCAGAAAAGGTTGGGGACCACTGGCTTAAACAACTAAAGGGAAAAAGTGGAATTAGTTTTCATAAATAGATATTTGCTTTTTTTGTAAGCTATTAACTATTACTTAATTGTGTAATAATTACTCTCTACAGATAAATGAACCAAAGGCTTGCAAAGGTGTAAGATTCCTATAGGAGAATAATAAACATCTTGTGGGCTTATAATACATGCATTTCTAGACCATATCTGCCTATGGAGTTTGCAACATTTTTGTCCCCCAGTTGATTGTAGTTAAAAGCTTTAAAAAAAAATAACAGAAATTCACAAATCTTGTCTACTAATTGAGCATACTGCAATGATCCTTCTGTCAGACCATTTTGACTTTCAGAAGATCCTGTTTCCAGGGCTGGTTTCTGCATTTACCTTTATTTACCTCTGTACTTTTATTCCTGAATTCAGTTCTTTCAGCTTGATGCTCTTATTTTTAAGAACTCCTTTCCTCTAAGCTGCCTCCATTTGATCCCTGTGTTTTCAAAGCACAGAATCCTCCACTTGGGGCTTGACCTGAGTGGAACAATATTACTTACTTTTTCTGAAGTATTAAGATTATCCATGGATCCTTTAAAGAATTCTAAATATAATATCTCCTGGGCATCAGAGAAAGCTATTTTTATTGTTTCCTTCAGAATTTAATCTGCTCAAGTGGTTGTGCACAATAAACCTTGTATAAACATAACAGTAGCCAACAATTTCCACCTACATTCCAGATCAATCAGAAATTAATCAAAGGCAGAATCTGAGGTCTCTTTTTGCCACACCCATTGTTCCTTAGCTCTAAATGACTGTTCCGATTCTTAACTGTACTTTTCTCCTGTTTCAGAGTCTTCAAGACCAACTGAAAAGAAAAGTAAAAAGCCAAAGAGCTCACTTCCTCCTACACTCGCAACAGAAAGTAAGTCATTTTGCTTTTACTGTTTGTTTGGTTTTTGTTAACTTTACACCAAGACTTAGGAACGTCTGGCTCCCAAGGTGCTCTCCATGATTGTGAGTATGGCTAAGATTAGACATAAAGGGAATAGCATCTCTGATACTTTGTACACTGACTGCAGCAAACTTTGTATGGACGGTTGTTAACTTCCTACACTGAGCAAAGCACATGTAGAGACTTCTGCTCATGTGGTTCTTCCTGATACTAGGCTTGCACGACGCACAAATTGAAGTTCACAAGAATTCTCTGCATCATTTCTGCATCATATAAATACATCGTTAGGCAGAATCATATGGTTAGGATGTCTGTGGCCCATAGATACTTCAACCATGATAAGTATGCTTGTCTGAAGATGCCAACAAGACTCTTCTTTCTCACGTGTACATGTAAAAGAGTCTCAAACTGTAAAAATTAACTGGTACAATGGCCCATTTTACTAGGGTGTTGTTGTTGTTGTTTAGTTAAGTCATGTCCGACTCTTCGTGACCCCATGGACCAGAGCACGCCAAGCCCTCCTGTCTTCTTAAAGTGTACCCCAGGTTAAATTATTGTGCATTTGAACCAGAATAATTCCACAGGGAATTGCCATAGTATTGTCATTAAAGCAGGCGGGGGGGGATTTATTATTCAAGCAGGAGAATTGTTTGACATACAGCGGGGTCTCTACTTAAGAACTTAATCCGTATTGGACGGTGGTTCTCAAGTTGAAAAGTTCTTATGTTGAATCTGCATTTCCCATAGGAATGCATTGAAAACCATTTAATCTGTATCTGCTCTTTTCCGTCCATAGAAACTACAGTGGAACCTCTACTTAAGAACTGAATCCGTTTTGGAATGGTGTTCTTAAGTTGAAATGTTCTTAAGTTGAAGCAAAATTTCCCATAGGAATGGACTGAAAACCAATTAATCCGTTCTGGCTGTTTTTTTGTTATGTAGAGGTGCGTTCGTACATTAACCAAAGCTGGTTAATACGTACTCTACGACTATGGGGAGAATTTTTTTAACCTAAGATGACCTAAGGTTAAAAAAAGAGCAGGAAAGTTTTTTTTTCCTGTTCTTATCTTGGATTTCTGTTCTCAAGTAGAAGCAAAATTTAGCAAATGGAGCTGTTCTTAAGTTGGATTGTTCTTAAGTAGGGATGTTCTTAAGTAGAGACCCCACTGTATCCAAATGCATGAAACCCATCCCCTCTTTACATGTGCATAGCCTGATTGTCACAGATTGTGTTAAAGCCAGACTGTCACTCCCACAATCAAAATGGTTGCTTCCATCTGTATGCAGGAGTGAGATCTAAGAATTAGAGAGGGTAGAAACGAGACTAAGAAGAGGGTACCCAACCACCCAGTGCAGCTTTTCCAGGGGCATTAGGGGGTTGGAGGGGAAAGGAGAACTGGAGAGAATGCTCGCTCCATTCCATGGGAAGATCCTATGTGTAGAGTTTCCCTCATAAAAATTCTGGATCTGATCTACTGTCCTTATTTTTCTGAACCACTTCTTTGGAAGGAAGGTTCCTGTTTTTCCATAGTTGCACAGTCTAATGTGCTTTATGGCAACTAGGCAGCTCGTATGTGTTGACTCATTCTGCTTCTTGCCATAAAGTACATCAGACTGCTGATTCCACTGAGAGCAAAGCAATGTGACCTTTTGATCATTGCACAGAATACTTTCTAACTATAGTATAACAAGCATCATAAAGATAGTGGTTGTTATGGGTTCCCCACTTTCCAGTTTTTCTCACTATGTTACAAATTCATGCACTTTTTTCCTGCTAAAGAGATGAATGTTGTGAGTGGGGGGTGGCGGCAGGAAATGAAAGCATGCAAACAGAATGTGTGAATTGCTGCGTAAGTGTCTTTTATTACTTAATGAACATTGGAAAGACAGTGTGAAGAAGATTTATCCTATTCACACCTTATGCTTTATACTCCCGTTTAATGATAATGTGTGAATTAGGCTTGTTCTCCGCCCCAACCATAGGTTTTTGGAAAACTCACTTTAAAAGTTAAGGGAGCCTTCAGTTCACCTGACTCTGTATTCTGGCTAAGACAGCAGGTTAACTCCAGTTTTGCTGGCCTGCTGATTTTACTGCTTGAAATAAACTTCCTTCTTCCTATTAAGAAAGGCTGCAATCTGAGGAATGTTGCCAAGAATCAGAATTAAAAACCTGTGTTAGTATAAATCAGTCAGAGGTGATGTACTTACCACTAGAGTAAAAGGACTAAATCAAAGTCTTGGAGCAGCTCCAGAATCTGTAGCTGTGTAAACAGGACTTCTATAGCAAATTTTTTCCCCAAATCTTGTGAAGATCAACTGATGTGTTTTTATTCAGTTTAATATTAAAGGCAGAATTGTAATATTACTATTGAATAACAGAGAGAAACATGTGTTTCACTACTGCATACTTCTGTGTTTTTGATACTGTAGGTGCTGCTAAATTTCAAGTTGTCTTTTGTTCTTTTTGCTTTGTGTTAAGAATGGAAGACTTCCAGATCGATATTCCATCAAGGAAATGAGCTGAGAATGAGCGAGAGGCACAAAAAGTGTCTTCTTTCACATTCCAAACATAGGGAGCAGGGAGAAGAGTATCCCCTAAGTGGGTAGTTTTATTAACAATGGTCATTTAAAATGAATTATCTCCCCGTGCTATAGTCTAAAATTTTGTTTTATTTGGACGATTGCGCCTATAATTCCCTCCTATTATTTATTTATTTAAACTATTTTTACCTCACCTTTGTACTAAGAAAGTTCCCAAAGCAGCGTACATCATTAAAACATAATATTAAAATTAATAATAGTGAATTATTCAAATATTAAGTAAATGACCCACTCACCATGCTGGTTCTGGGAGTTGTACTCCAAAAGTGTAACTTTTCTTGGCTCGTGTAAAAGGAATGCTTTTAGATGTTTAATAGATGGATGGATAGGAATCGTGCTTGATTACCATGCCTTTCCATTCTAATTTCTCTGCTAGCCATCATCCTTGACAGTCATGCATTGTTTCTGGGCATAATTCACAGTGCAGATTTTAACCTATAAAGCCCTGTCTCAAAGATCATGTCTCCCTTTATGTGCCTGCCTTTTTGTCAAGGTCATCAAGGGAGGCCATTCCCTTGGTTCCACCACCATCCCAAATGCATTTGGTGGGGATCCAGGAGAGGGCCTTCTGTGTCGCTGCTCCCAGAGTCTAGAACTCCCTCCCTACAGGAGGCCAGGCTGGCCCCATCTTTGCTGTCCTTGTGCAAGCTGATGAAGACTTTTCTCTTCAGGAAAGCTTTCCCTTCGTAGCTGTCTGTCTGAGAGGGGTTTCTAAATGGATGGTTGTGCTTGTTTCTTTAAGTGTATTTTTAGTATTGATTTTATTTATTGTTAACAATATAATATTTGTTTAATTCTTCTTACTGTTTTTAGCTTTTACATATTGTCTTTTAATGACGTAAACCATCTTTTTAAGAAGAAATGTGGGTTGAAAACATTTTGCATAAATAAAATAAATGAAAAGGCCATACAATTGTACAGCTCTTACACTCCTGCTGAATTCTGACTGATCAAAAGTCCAGAATGGGCAAAGCAATCCTGTGCATTTGTCATTGCAAACTGTATCCCTTCAGAGATTTTGGGTGACATCTCTCATCAGCAATAGACAGCATGGCCTGTGGCCAGTGATGCTGGGATATGTATTCTAAAACATCTGTAAGGGTCCAGACCAGGAAAAACTGCTTTACATGTGCAGTTTTATACATGTAGAACATTTGTGTGCTTATAGGATCTCTTTCTTACTTATGTCAGACTTATTGCCATCAGCATCTTGTATCAGAAGGGGGTTGTTTTTCCAAAGATACAGTTTTTCATTGATGAGGGTGAATTGATTGGACAGTATCAGATATAGATGCTAAGCTTATATTTCCGTTAATTTATTGGTGCTGTTGCCTATTTATTGTCAATTGTTTTAAATTTCTGGGAATTTTGACTAAAGCTTATTTGGACTGCAGTTTTATAAAAAAAATTATAGGAGAAATTATTTAGGTAAAAGTTACTATATTGCCCAGTTTTATGGGTGTTCATGTTTGGATAGAAATAAATGTTGTTAAAATTTTCCTCTTTTTAGATTTATGTAAGGTGAAGCATTTCATAGTGAGATGAGTTCAATAATGTTTATACAATCTTGCTACTAAAAACCTTAAAGTTATGTCTTTCTGGAGTTGGTGTAAACATAAAAGCTCATTTTGCAGCTTGCTTTTCCACATATTTTTTTCAAGACTTCCAATTGTATGAAAGTTTCTTTTAAAAAAAACTCACAGTCTTGATCATTAGAAAAAAAATGGAAAATCCATCAAGACTCCAAGGAATTGCTATGACTTCAAAGCTGTTCTTAGGCGCTTGGATGCCATGGCTCTGTGGTAGTTTTAAGCTTGTTTGACCAAGCCTGAGGAAGACCAGCTATGTTAAAGCTTAGGCATGTGACTCCAGGTGAGATGAGAAGTACCGATATGTCAGACATTAGATTGTTGCAGAAAATGCTTGAAAGATTTACAGCAATCCAAAAACAATCAAGAAAAAGTGGGCAGTCTTTCCAGATGCCATGTTTGGACATCAAAGCTTTTAACTATATGTTATTAACTAATTTATTATTTTATTTTTACTGCTAGGTAGAAGAGGTATTTGTGGGATTTTGACCTTCAAGTGCCAAAATACTTGGTTTGCTTTGAGTATTTGTGCCTTCATTTGAAGTAGGAGTTAATTGTCCCATGAGACAGCACAGTAACAGATAAACTAACTGTATTTAGCTTTATTTCCCAAAGTTGGGGATAGTGCCAATTCAACCAGAGGGAATCTGCCGATAATAACTATAATAATCAGCAGTGAAAAAAATCAGAGGATCCCTTTGCATTTGGAGACTTTCTATAAGGATATGTGTAAAATCCTGGAGCGAGAAGTAACAAGCCTTTTTAGAACTTTGTCTAACT